TTAAGTCCGGATATCGAACCCACAGGGAATATTTAATTACTTAATACTAGACGCTAAATTCTACCAATTATTATCAAGCCCACCCTACACAGTCGACTTTAGAAAGAATTAACTAGATTAAAATAAATTAAAAAGCAAATTAAAACGACAAAGCAAGAAAGCAAATTAAACACGAAGATTTATCAGAGTAAACAAGCCTAGGATTTTATTCTTCCCCCTATGTGATTATTATTCCCCCAATTCCTTCAATTATGCAAGCAATTAACCCGGATTATTAACCTGAGATGCTAAAATAATCATAAACCGCTTCCGCGTGTATTACGATTCTAATACTCTAGATTCAATTACTATCCTCATCTATATCAAGTATAACGAAATCGACAGGGAAGATAAATTTATTGACTTTCACTAGCACATTCTCTAAAATACATTTTGGGTAAACTAAAGATCAATCGGCTAATTGAAGAGTTATAGCCGTCGGTTCAATTTCTCCTAACCCAAGATTTTTAAAAGTAGAGTACGGCATAAGGTTAATGCTAGCACCTAAATCAATGAGCGATCTAAAATTTTTACCTCCTATACTACAAGGAATAGTAAACTTACCTGGATCGCCAAGTTTTTGTGGAAGAGGCCGAGTAAGAATTGCACTAATTTGCTCCGTGAGTTGGATCATCTCGTTCCCTTGCAATTTCTTACTTTTCTTCACGAGGTCCTTTAGGAACTTCACCCACTTTGGCATTTTTTTAAGTGCTTCAATGAAAGGAATATTTATGCGAATTTCCTTCAACTTGTCCAAAAATCTTTGATATTCGGCATCGAGCTTCTTCTTTATAAACTTTTGAGGATAAGGAATTGGAGGGACTTGTGAAGGCACCGTTGATGGTGGCTCTTCATGAGTTGATTCTTTTTCCTCATTCACTTTCGGCTTCTCGATTACCGTGTTTCTCTTCTCTTTTCGTGGGGCTTCCTCCAATTGCTTACCGTTCTTCAAGGTGACTGCTTGGCACGTCTCGACCTCAATCTTTTTCGTTAGCAATCTTTGTGGATATGGGATTGGTTCAACCCATGCAGCTACAGTGACTTGCGGCTTGACTTGAATATCTTTCTTTTTCTCAATCTTGAAATCGATAGCTTGGCACGTCTCGAACTTTTGCTTTCGAGGATCTTCCGTAGTCGATGGCAATGCTCCTGCCGGACGTTTCTCTTGATTCACAACGAATTGAGCGAATTGATTCTCCAAATTCCGCAGCGAGGCTTGGGTAGCGGTCATGAATTGGGCCAATATCTCATCCGTGTTTGATTTTTGGGCCGGTGGATTGTTGCCTTGATAGCTTTGTTGAGGAGGGGCTTGATTTTGGAATTGACCTTGAGGTCTTTGATATCCTTGGCCTTGTTGATTTCCTCCATATTGCCCTTGTGATCTCCACCCTTGATTTTGGAATTGGCGAGGCGCATTATTGACGTAGTAGAGCGATTCCACATCTTGTTGGCATTGGAGCGTGTAATGATTTCCACCGCAAATTTCACAACATGGAGACTCAACGGCTTGGACTTGTTGTGGTTGATTTGCTTTGATGTGCTGTAGAAGGAGTTGATTTTGTTGAGCAATTTGGGTCACTTGAGCTTGAAGGGCCGTAATTGCATCTAACTCCAACACTCCGGGAATTTTCTTGGCTCCACTCACCGTCCTCTCGCTTGACTTGGCAAACCTATTTTGTGCAATTTGATCCAACATGATAAATGCATCCGGTATCGATTGACTCATGAAATTACCTCCGGTTGATGCATCTAAGACGGTTCGTGCATTCTCGTTAATCCCTTGGTAGAAGATGTGGATTTGCCGCCATTGTTCGACTCCATGTGTTGGACATTGCCTCAAAAGGGTCTTAAATCTCTCCCATGCCTCGTACAATTGCTCGCCTTGCTCTTAGACGAAATTATGAATTTCTCGTCGGATTCTCTCGTCCTTCTCGGGTGAGCTATAAACTTTCATAAAAAGGTTGAGAAGTTGAGGCCACGACGAGATAGAGTGGGGGGCCTGGGACATCAACCACTGGCGAGCTCTTCCTTGTAAGGAGTGCTTGAAGAGAATTAATTGAAGTGCCTCTTGGGAAACACCGTTTTGACGGTGGGAATTACAGGTATCTAGAAAATTGACAATGTGAAGATGGGGATCTTCACCTGCCAATCCACTAAATAGCCCGTTATTTTGGAGCATCGTCAATAGGCCTTGTTTGATCTCAAAATTGTGCGCCTCAATAGGTGGATATTGGATGCTTGGGCGGAATCCTTCGAGAGTAGGGATTATGTAGTCTTGAAGTGCCCGTGGCCGAACTGCTGGCTGTAATGGAAGTTGAGGGGGTGGGTCTTGGACTTGGTTTCCGTTGGCCTCGAGTAAATTACCCTCTGCACGTCTGCGTTCTTCGTCCTCCATTGTATTGGTTGCGCGTTGGCGTCTCCTAGCGGCTCGAAAAGTACGTTCGATTTCGGGATCAAACGGTTCTCTAGCAAGATCGAGTCTCCTGCGCATACACAGTACCTAAAAAGAAAAAATAAAATAAAACAAAAATTAAATGGGTGAATCGTGAAAATTTTTCAAATCTAGAGCTAGAATAAAATAAATAATTAAAATATTCCCCGGCAACGGCGCCAAAAAGTTGTTGGCCGAAAACCTACACGCAAGTGCACGTATCGTACAAGTAATATAGTGGACAATTAAGTCCGGATATCGAACCCACAGGGAATATTTAATTACTTAATCCTAGACGCTAAATTCTACCAATTATTATCAAGCCCACTCTACACAGTCGACTTTAGAAAGAATTAACTAGATTAAAATAAATTAAAAAGCAAATTAAAACGACAAAGCAAGAAAGCAAATTAAACACGAAGATTTATCAGAGTAAACAAGCCTAGGATTTTATTCTCCCCCCTATGTGATTATTATTCCCCCAATTCCTTCAATTATGCAAGCAATTAACCCGGATTATTAACCTGAGATGCTAAAATAATCATAAACCGCTTTCGCGTGTATTACGATTCTAATACTCTAGATTCAATTACTATATTCCTATGCAATTAATTCTAGAACACAACATTAAGCACAAATCTCAATAATGGCTACCTAAGAGATTAACTATATTCCTATGCTAATACCACAAAGGCTCTTCTACCACAGTTCTAATTATTAACCCGATCTTCCGATTCATCCGATTAACAATAACATAAAAGAACATAAGGTGATCAAGTTCATGCACTTAATAAAACAAGTAGAAGAAATAATCCGGAATTAAAACTTGCATAAAATCATAGAAAAGGGTTCATAAATCTCACATAGGGTTCAAAATAAAATCCTAGAAATAAGAAATTTAGCTACTTATGATTTAAGTAAAAACGCAAATAAAATAAGTCATGAACGATAAATCTATGCTTAGAGTCTTCGAATTCTTCGTCTTCGTTATTGCTTTGTTGCTCTTGAAATTGCGTAAAAGATCGATCCCCAATTGTGTGTTTGTCTTGGTCTTATATATGGTGGAAAATTTGGAGAAGAAGGTAGTTTCCTTGTGCAATTATGATTCCTTTACTGCGCCTTTTCGTCATCTCGGACGGCCGTCCCGAATTTTGTACTAAAACTCGGACGGCCATCCCAAAAACAGTTGTTGTTTCTGCTTCTCAGACGGCCGTCCCATGCTATATGTCTTCAGATTTTTGATTTTTTCACTTTTGGCCCATATTTTCTCTAAAATTGCATTTTTGACCCCATAATTTTCCAATTCTTCAATTTGTACCTAAAATACAATAAATCAACTTTTTAAGCACCAATTATCGTTAAAACACACGAAAAGCTCAAATAAAAAGGTACGATAAATTCTAAAAATATACACTTAACATGAAGAAGAAATGGGCGGTCAACTCCGCCTTCATGGCGCTCTACGCCTTCGCCGCCGTCGTACTCTGCTGGGTCATCTGGGCCTACAAGATGTCCTTCGGCGAGCGGCTCCTCCCCTTCTGGGGAAAGGCGGGCCCGGCGCTGGATCAGCACTTTCTGATCGGGCAGGCGAAGCTGCCCGCCACCGTCCACTACTTCAGCGACGGGGAGACTGACATGGCGGCGCCGAACTACCCGATGGCGTCGATGGTGTGGTTCCAGTGCGTTTTCGCCACCGTAGCGGTGATCCTTACGGCGGGGTCGTTGCTGGGGAGGATGAACATCTAGGCATGGATGATGTTTGTGCCGCTGTGGCTGACGTTCTCTTACACGGTGGGGGCGTTCAGCCTCTGGGGCGGCGGGTTTTTGTTCCACTGGGGTGTTATTGATTACTCCGGCGGTTATGTCATCCATCTCTCCTCGGGTATCGCCGGCATCACCGCTGCTTACTGGGTTAGTTGAAATACTCCATGTAGTTTTCAACCGTACATCCATAAAAATAACTATCCACTAAACATACACTCAATGCGTACGTAGATCTACGTTATAAGAACACATGATGTATTTACTTGGGGTCAGCCGCCCAAAAAAAATTCCAATGTTTTTTAATTACTTTTTGATATACTATTATACAAATATGTGTTTTTGCTCCTCCTATTTTTATTTTCTTCTCTATTCTTTTATGTAACTCCTGATTTTATTTTATTCTCTATTCTTTTACGTAATTTTAGATATTGTTTCTATATTTGTTATTACAATATAAAATACAACTACTAAAATATATATTTTCACTTCAAAATTATAAAGAGATTAAATTCTGAGCGGATCAGCCGATATTTAATATAAATCGAATTCCACTAATTTTTTGACATGTGGCACTCTTAAGTCTTAAATCTTAATAAATTACGCTGATTATAATAATTAGGATTAGTGGGGTTATGGGTTCTGCTGTGTTGTGAAATCAACATCAACGTAATATATCTTCTTTTTCTACATGGTACCAGAGCAGGATAAAATCCTTGCCTTTTACTTCCGTTTTTTTTCATAATTCTTGTTCTTTGATTTCTTCATCATGGATGATGATTCAAATAAAAGTAAGAGCATTAACAAAAATGATCCATCCTATCTTTTTTTTATTCATCATTCCGATCACCCCGGAATGATCCTCGTATCCAAACCTCTCAATTGTGATAATTACGGAACATGGAGCCGCTCGATGAAAATTTCTCTCAGCGCAAAGAACAAGTTGGGTTTCATCGACGGATCCGTTCAAGTTCCTTGTCAAATAAAGTCACCAGAAGAGTACTCCTCATGGAAGCGATGCAATGACATGATCCTTTCATGGATTCTAAATTCTCTTGAACCCGATATTACCGATAGTGTGATATACTCAACTACATCACATGAGATATGGCAGGACCTTGAAGAACGATTTTCTCAAAGTAACGCACCAAGAATCTTTCAACTTCAACGTGAAATGGCGTATTTGCAACAAAACCAAATGTCTGTTTCAGCCTATTACACCAAGCTAAAGGGTCTTTGGGATGAATTAGCATCCTATAATGAACCTTGTCACTATACTTGTGGAAAAATAAAGCCACAATCAGAACGTGAGGAGAGAAATGCTTTAATGCAATTTCTCATGGGATTAAATGAATCCTATAGTGCTGTGCGTGGACAGATTCTTTTGATGCAGCCGCTGCCGACTCATCGAAAGGCTTATTCTCTAATATCCCAAGAAGAAAAACAAAGAGAACTTGGAAATACAAGGGGGATAAGTGAAGTGGCAGCCATGGCAGTTCAACGTGGACAAAGAACATCTAACTCGGGGCGAAAACCACTTCATTGCAGCCACTATGACAAAGACTTTCATACAAATGAGACGTGTTATAAATTGCACGGCTATCCAGAAGGACACCGACTCCACAAATCGTCTAATGGTGGTCACCATAGAAAATGATACACTCCTTCTGCAAATTCGGTAAAAACGGGATTTTCCGTTAAGGAATTACAGACTGCTATGCCCAATCTGTCAGAAGCACAATATCAACAAATTTTCTCGTTTATGTCTGAAAAGGGAAGTGAATCGCAACCTGCTCAGACTAATTCAACCGAGCTTTCCACAGGTTTGTTGGAATCCTTGACAACTCACCTCCAATGGATTATTGACAGTGGTGCGACTGATCACATTACATGTTCTAAGCGATCATTGAAAGTCCACACCGATAATCCATCATTACCGCCTGTTTCGTTGCCTAGTGGAGAGAAGACCGCTACGACTTCTATTGGCAATTTTTCCTTGAATTCCAATATTCAATTGAAAGATGTTTTATGTGTACCAAATTTCAATGTTAATCTTTTATCTGTGAGCAAACTTACACAAAGTCTCAATTGTTCGATAACCTTTTTTCCTTCTTGGTGTATTTTGCAGGACCAGGTTACGAGGACGACAATTGGTTTGGGTAAGCAGCAAGATGGATTGTATCACCTTGTGGCGTTAGTATCTGCTAAACCACAAACACACCCTCCCGTCAAACAACCAGTTTGCCTTTCTACCTCAGTTTCTGCCGATATTTGGCATCAGCGTTTAGGACATTTATCTTTTCCTCGTTTGCAAACCTTGTCTAAAATTTTACCGAATTTTTATCGTCGTTTAGAAAATATATGTGATGTTTGCCCTATGGCTAAGCAAACTCATCTTCCTTTTGGAGTTAGTTCTATATCTACTGTCAAACCTTTTGATCTAATCCATATTGATATTTGGGGTCCATATAAAATATCTTCCCTTTCAGTGCAAATTATTTTTTGACTATAGTAGATGATTTCAGTCGATATACCTGGGTTTTCTTAATGCGTCACAAGCATGAGACACAAAGTCGTCTTAAATCCTTCTTTGCCTTCATTACAACTCAATTTCACACACCAATAAAACAAATCCGAGTTGATAATGGGGGGGAGTTTGCTTCCATGAAACAATTTTTTTTCTGATCTAGGAATTATTCATCAACATACTTGCGTTTACACACCCCAACAAAATGGTGTCGTTGAACGTAAGCATCGCCACATCCTTGATACAGCTCGAGCTTTAAGGTTTCAAGCTCATCTGCCTCTTAAATTTTGGGGAGAATGCATTCTTACAGCAACCTCATAAACAGATTTCCTACAAAAATGTTATCCCATAGAACACCTTTCGAAGCTCTTTACTCAAAAAAACCATCATATAACCATATTCGTGTTTTTGGATGTCTCTCTTTTGCCACCTCAGCTCAACATTCCACCAAATTTGACCCTCGTGCACGAAAGTGCATTTTTTTGGGGTACCCTCACGGACAAAAAGCTTATAAGTTGTATGACCTTCTTAATCACAAAGTTTTTACGTCTCGTGATGTCGTTTTCCACGAAACCACTTTTCCTTTTTAAACTCCATCAATAAAAGAGTCCAATGGTCCAGATTCCACCAATCTCGTGTTACCCGTTCCGTCTGATCATTTTGAAATTCCAGCGTCTGAGGAAACTCTAGATTCTTCTAATCTTTCTTCCGATGTATCACTCCAGCCATCAAGCCCAAGATCTAGTCCACCGGTTCAACCCATGCGTCGATCCCAACGTCACAAAATCCCTTCTGTTCTTCTCAAGGACTTCGTCACCAATCACGTGTCGTCTTCGTCGCCTGGTGCTAGAAAAGGAACAAGGTACCCGCTTTGTAATTTTGTTTCTTATAAAAGATTTTCAACCTCTCATCTTTCCTTCATTGCCAATATTAGTAGAGATGTCGAACCTTCCAACTTTTCAGATGCAGCCACAGATCCTCACTGGCAGCAGGCTATGAAAGTCGAACTTGATGCTTTGGAAGCCAATAATACATGGACCCTTACAACTCTACCTTTAGGCAAAGATGCTATAGGGTGCAAATGGGTCTATAAGATTAAGCGTCGTTCTGATGGTTCTATTGAGCGATACAAAGCTCGGCTAGTTGCTAAAGGCTACACTCAAACTGAGGGTGTCGATTACCACGATACTTTTTCTCCGACGGCTAAAATGATCACAGTTCGTTGTCTCCTAGCCATTGCTTCAGCCCGTTCTTGGTCTTTACATCAACTTGACGTTCATAATGCATTTCTTCATGGCGATCTACATGAAAGAAATTTATATGTCCCTTCCTCCTGGTTTTCACCGACAGGGGGAGAATTTGGTGTGTCGGCTTAACAAGTCTTTGTACGGTCTTAAGCAAGCATCTCGGCAATGGTTTGCCAAATTTACCGAGGCTATCATAACTGCTGGTTTTGTTCAATCCAAAGCGGACTATTCTCTATTCACTCGTAAAACGGGAAAATCTTTTACAGCCTTACTAATTTATGTGGATGATATCTTGATTACGGGAAATGATGATGATGCAATTCAGTCCATCAAACATTTTCTTCACTCTAAGTTCAGAATTAAGGATCTTGGAGACTTGAAGTTTTTTTTGGGAATTGAAGTATCTCGATCCAAGAAGGGGTTATATATTTCTCAAAGAAAGTATTGTCTTGATATTCTTCAAGATGGCGGTGCATTAGGAGTAAAACCCATCACTTTTCCTATGGAGCAAAATCTCAAACTTTCCGATTCTGGAGAGCTTCTTAATGAACCGTCTCGATATCGAAGATTGGTAGGCCGCTTGATTTATCTTATTATCACAAGACCAGATGTCACCTATGCTGTTCATGTAATAAGTCGATTTATGCATGAGCCGCGTAAACCTCACATGGATGCTGTGTTGGGAAAATTGGTTAAAAATTGAGTCATGAACAATTTTTTATCAATGTGATTTGTACGGTCTAATTGAGTATATAAATCAATTTTGGATTAGAACCAATTTTGTGGTGAATGAAAAAAAAATTACTAGTCCAAAATATAAGGAAAGTGGGATTTGAGTTATCCCACATTGGAAAAGTAGAGAAGTACTGAGCTGTATATATATCAAAATATTGGGACGGGCCAAAAAAAAACATTAGGTCATGGGCTTTTAACCCATTGGGCCCTTATTACTCGAAGCCCATCTCGATTGGTCTGACTGGTCTGAATTGGTGCGGCCGAACCAATGCAAACCATTCGGCTCAACTCGGAATGGTGCAACCACTCCCAATTGGCTCAACTCGAAATGGTGCAACCATTCAAACAAAAGGTACCTTTGAAATGGTGCAACCATTCAAACAAAGGTACCTTTTTGCTCCAAAGGACACTACTTTTCGAACCTTATAAATAGACCCTAACTTTCCCACAATTCCTCACTTCAATCCAAAACAAGCCTACTACATATTAAGCCTACCCTTCACAGATTCTCTCGAAAAGTTCTACACAAAGTACAGTTCATCGTACTTGGGATTTGGAGTGCTCCTATTCCAAGTTTTGCCGTTGTATCTTGGGAGACGATTTCCATTTAATCCGTTAGCACCGTTGCGGGGAAATTTCGTCTTAAGGACAGAGTCAACTCGCCTCGGCAAATTTACGTTCATTGCAGATAATCTTTTCGTATTTTCACTAATTAATTTGTTCAACCAATTTACTAAATTCACTACCCGTTTTATGTATCGGGAACAACAATCTTAAGACGAAATTTTTGTGATTTAGTAAATTGTGTTTTCTGCACACGTGGGTAAACGAGATGGAGAAGAAGATAGTCTGCCAAAAATCAAGAAGTTACAAAATACAATTGGAAGAAAGTTCATTTTGCGGACAGAACATGAAGTCCACATTCTTTCCCATTTTCGAAGGTGTTAAAGTCCGAATATGGAAAATTAACATTTCACAAAAGTTGTAGATAATCAAATTAGCTTTCCAGAACGTGTTAAATCGTCAAAATCGGAGATCGTACGAAGAAGTTATGATGAAAACACGAAAGGGTGGCAGAACTGCCGATGCACCTTTTCATGAAAAAATACAACCGTTCGTGACCAATGCAACTTGTCGCATATTAACGCCTCACCAATGTCCAATGCACGAAATTTTGGTGAAAGAAGACTGAATCGAAGATCAATAATGAGGTTTTATATTATTTTCGATTCATGAATATTATTTAATATTTTTTTTCTGGTTCCATTGTAGGTGCAAATTTACAGCACACCTATTCGGACTTCGAGGCTTATTTTGATCATGACCCAGTCCGAATCTCAGAAAACGTAGAAGATAAAAGTTGTAGAAAATTTTGTTGGCTATTCGGATCATATTGAATCAACAAAATCGGACTTCAGACGGAAGAAATATGATTAAATTATTCAGCACTGCCATAATATTGACATGATTTGGTGCTACCCACAAAGTTTGAATTGACGAACATATAATTTATCGGGTACGTTTTTTTTAATTATAAGATATCTCTTTGTGCAATAAATTGATAATGCTATATGATATAATGGTGGATTATTGCATGATAGTTTAATTTCAATATGTGGAAGAATGGTAAACTATATACAATAAACTATATACAATATATTTGCTTAATGAATATTCATTATGTTTGTGTATCTACATTAATGATAGAAATATTTTTATCCTAAATGCAATAAAGTGATATGGTATGTGTTAATAGGTTTATCATAAACAGCATAACGTTTCTCATGAAAATGCAATATTTATTTTCATAAATTGCATATAGTTTTGATACGGGATTAACTTTCTCCCAATTTTCATTTGATGTGGAACCGTCCAATTGATTAATTTTCGAATATGTGAGTACGTGATCTTATTAACGTTTTTATTATTGTCTCGTATATTAAGTATGAGTTACTTAGTAAGAGGAATATTATTATACATATTATTATTATTTGCGTAAACCATAATAATTCCTTAGAATTGTGTTATTGCATGGACATGCATTGATTACGTGCTATAGAATGTTTATCAATTTATTATGTTGGACATGAATTTATTTATGCCATGAAATATTATGTTCAAATTTGATGTTATTATATACTCGTGTGTATACTATGTATATGTTGATATAATATGCTTGATATATTGTTTCTTTCTATGATCAACTAGTATGAAAGACGTGCTCACATGTCAAATATTATGTTTATTATAATATTGATGTACATATATTTTATATATGAATCATACTACGGTTTAATTAAAAGCATGATTTGAAATAAAATAGAAAGAAAGAGAAGCTCAATTCATGAGAGCACATGAGTAGTTCTTGTCTCAAGAACATAAAAGAAGATCTAGTCGTTGGGTTCGATTTGATTTGATATCACATTTGCAAAATAATGATCTACAATGTGAATGGATGAGATCGGATTTTGATTTTTCAAAGATCCAAAATAGTTGTTAACAACAATGGATGTTTTGTTGAAATAAAATTCGAGCAGTTTACTTAAGAGCTCGTTTTGTAGAATTAAATCGTTGGATTTGACTGAATTTTGAACAGCATGTTTAGGACATGCAATCCTAAATTATGAATGATTAAGATTAGAATTTATATATTCCAACTTTAATGTTGAATAGTGGAGATCAACCACCATTTGAAGAGATTAATATTCTCTTGTTTATTGACAAGATTTAAGTATCTTGACGAAGTTTCTCTTTTGAGGAAAATGAAGAAATCTTACTATCTCATTTGTTGACAAGATTTAAGTATCTTGAGAAGATTTCTCTTTTTGTGATTTCTTGAAATACAATTTCTTTTGTAATTAAATCATATTGGTTATTCGGTATATTTATCTAACTAAAGAAGAA